TATAAAGCTTATCGTGCGTGAATGTATTGTTTTTATCACGTATTCTCGATTATTCAACATAATAACATAAACATGAGCAGATATAGTCTACAGCGAGATCCATTAAGTCGAGACGTAGTTAAGTGTATTATACATTCCTGGCGGAAAAAAAATGTTTACGGAAAAATACAAAAAAATTACGTAGATTAGAGACAAGATTTTAGAAATTCTTAATTTTTCCTAAATATTTGTAATAGGATGTAGAGTGAGGTTTGTTTGTCTTATTGTTAGAAATTCTCAATTTTTGTAGATATTCGTAGTAGGACATAGAATTTTTTTAGGGCGAAGGATTTCTCGGTTTTTCGAACAAACGATGTCACTTTACGTTATCCACCACGAATATCTATGAAAAACCAAGAATTTCTAAGAATTTGTTTCAATCTATGTAGTTTTTCGTAAAATTTTTCTGCCAAGAGCATAGCAGGCAAATATTAAATATTGACTTTCTCGAAAACAAAATTTGAGATGAAAAATTATTATTTTATGTTTTCTCTCTCTCTCTCTCTCGACTTATTTTTTCATGTAGAATCTCTATTTCGTTGTACTATCAGATCACAAACACTGTATGTAATATATATTATCTTGTATAGAAAAAAAACACTTTTCAATAAAGTTTAATCTCTCAGGTGAAGATGGACAAATGAGGTACGGCAGACAGCGATTATGGGGTACAATCGGTTCTTCTCTTCTGTCACTTCTGTCTGGTTTAACAATAGATTTGTGGTCGCAAGAGAAAGTTTACAAAACTTATACACCAGCGTTTATTTTAGTGTTTGCATTTATTTGTATCGATTTAATATGTTGTAGAAAATTAAAGGTATATTATATGTTTAGAAGAAAAAAAGACAATAGTACATATATATGCAATAGTATAGTTTTTTATTTTATGTTCTTAACTATCATGTAATCTTCTTTGCAGTTGCCACTGTCAAAATCGCCGAGTATATTAAAAAATGTATATGCAATTTTAAAATTAGTACCAATTATTATATTTCTATGTACTGCTATGTTTGCTGGCATTTTTGAAAGTCTCATGGTTAACTTTTTATTTTGGTAAATTCTTTTTCTTTATCAATATATGATCGTATATTCGTTAAGTTTTTGTGCAATAAAACGTAGAACTTTATGTCGGGTTAATTATATTTTAGTAATTAATTTTTAGGTATATAGAAGATCTTGCTATGGTAACCGGTTATATGAAAAAAGTTAAATTAATAGAGGGTTTAACATTATTCTCAGGTTTGCTCGGGAAAGTAATATCCTACTTTATGTCTGGTAATGTTAAATTTTTTTTCATATATTGTTACATAAAGTTGTACAATTATTGTGTAATTGAAATATTTTGTTCTACAAAACCTGGTAAAAAATTTTTCATGCATGAATATGTATAAATAAGTATAAACATACATAAACACGCATAAATATGCATAAACATGTATAATTATAAATTAAATAAGTCCATATATGTCCATATATGTTCATATATCCTTCTTTTTTTTGTAAAATTACTGTTTACTGTAATAGAAATAATAATAGTAAAGTGAAAACATAAAAAACAATTAACATAAAGACATAAAAAAATAATTAAAGGAATAATTTTCGCATTGTTTATTTTAGAAAAAACAAGTTTGGAAAAATGTAAAAAAAATTTCTCATACATAATTATACATAATTTTACATATAATTATACGTAAGTAATTTTTTTACATTTCTTCAAACTTGATTTTTCCTAAAACAAACAATGCAAAAATTAGAGGAAATCGCCGATACTGACATAGGTCTCCTAAAGTGACACCCTCTTATTTTTCGGAAACTAACTATTGCACTTTATTAATACTAATAAAATCATTATCTGTTTAGCTAATTAAAGAAGTACAAACTCATAATTCGTAGGTTTGTGGCTTGTTTCTATATCAAATCAGCTAAAAACGAATTCTACAAATGTGAAAATAAAATTCTTACGATTTTCTTTTGCAAATTGTGAGGTTTAAATAATAGTAACTATATTATTAATAATATTACATCATTTTAAATACTTGTAGTTTCCG